CCTGCCCTGCCAGACCTCACCTGTCCTTCCAGACCTCACCTGTCCTGCTGCTCTGCTGGGCTTTGGTCCTTCCAAGCTCTTCTTGGTCCTTCTCTGCCCTATCTGGTCCTCCCCTGCCCTGCCAGACCTCACCTGTCCTACCTGGTCCTGTTTGCTTGCCTGGGCTCCATCTGGTCCATCCCAGCCCTACCTGCACGGTGGGATGACAGTGACAGGGACAAGTGGCACTCACCACGTTCTCAGGGCTGGGCCTCTCAGGTGTGATCTGGATCCACTCGATGCCCACACCCTGGGGACCGTGGTCTTCAGGCTCGAGGACGTAGGGGCAACCCAGCTTCACCGAGTCACCCTTGGCCAGGTACAGCACCTCCCGGTCCTTGCTGTTGATCCTGACGGCCAGGAGGAGAGCTGGGGAGAGAACAGCACCCATCACACCAGCTGAGGAGCACAGGGGGGCCCCCCAAACCTGCACCCCTGCACCCCAATGCACCCCCACCCCATGATCCACAGCACCCATCACACCAGCTGAGGAGCCCAGGGGGGGCACCCCAAACCTGCACCCCAATGCACCCCCACCCCATGATCCACAGCACCCATCACACCAGCTGAGGAGCCCAGGGGGGGCACCCCAAACCTGCACCCCAATGCACCCCCACCCCACGTTCCACAGCACCCATCACACCAGCTGAGGAGCACAGGGGGGGCACCCCAAACCTGCACCCCAGTGCACCCCCACCCCACGTTCCACAGCACCCGACCCGCAGGAAGCAGGGATGGGGCAGGGACCCATCTGCCAGGGTGAAGCACCCACAGGGGATGGGTGTCCTGGTGGGGTTGAGCACCCATCAGGGTTGTCACCCACTGGGTTCCATGAAGCTGCGTTGTGGAGACAAAGGGACATGGTGGGCTCAATGCCACCTGCCCAGCTGAGTGTCAGGGCAGGACCAACCCAGCTACAGATGCTCTGCTGACCATGGGGTACATCCAGCACCCTGAGGTACCCCCAAAGATGGGCAAGGAACCCCTCCATCCTCAACGGCATCACTGATGGGAGCAGATCCAAGTGGAAGGAAGGATCCATGGGCGCCTACCTGGCATGAGACCCAGGAGCAGGAGCAGGCTGGCGCCGGGCCCTGCCATGACGCCGCAGCCGTGCCGGGCGATGAGGAGGAGTGGGAGCGGAGGAAGCTCCGAGGCGACGGGGCAACTGGGGTGTGTGGAGCTGCTTTTACATGCTGGGGCCGGGGTGCTCCTCCCTTGTGGGGCGGATGCCTTTGGGATGACTGAGTGGCTCCAAGCTGTGCGTGAGTGATGCCGCCCTGCTCCACTCCCTACCTGCTAATTAAGCATCACCATGCTATGGGCTTCCATCCAGGTAGACATGGGCTGGGGGACACCATGAACAGGGGGCACCATCATGCCCAGAAGCACCCAGAGTAGGGACTGGGGGGCTGTGGACCCCACAGTGCCCAGTGGCTGGTACCCCAGTGTGGGTACTGGTGGGATGAGTGTGGCTGGTGGTAAAATGCTGCCTGGGACCCTGTGGGAGCAGCCCAAGTGTGGCTGAGGACCACAGCTCCATGAAAGCACCAGCCTGGCCTCATGCAGGTCCCAAAAGAAGGATTTTGGTCTTAGGGCAGAATTTATGCAATTGGAAGAGCTTAAAGGTGTGGTTTGACCATGGGTTTAAGCCTCCTGCAGATCCCTCCTCCTGTCCTGCCCCCTCAACAAGCGGGCATGGGGCTGCCATGGCCATGTGGGGACAGTGGCACCCACCAAGCCCCATGCTGGTGACAGTGGCACTGCTGAAATACAGCGCAGAGGCTTGGCTGGGGGCCCCGCACCTGGGGCCC